ATTATGCATTAATAAGGCTAATGTTGCAATTATATGCAATTTAGCTTTAAAAATACAAAATGCAACTATAAAAATGCACAAAAAATATTTTAACCATATTTTGGCATAAATATAGAAATTAAATGACTAGATCATCATAACAATAATTTGAGGGATAATTATTGAGGATTTTATGAATAAAAGGGAAGGAGATAAATCAATATAAAATCTTTAAAATTGTGAAAAAATTATAAAAACCTTGTGCATGCTTGTATATGCATATATATGCTATTTTGAAAGTATTTATGCATATAAAAATATAGGAAAAAATTGGGTATCAACAGCTAATACAATACCTGATGCATCGACGCTGAAGTTGTATTCTGACAATCGAGGTGCTTCCTTGGATCCAGCATCCCTATCAAAACCGCTTTTGCTCATAAGCCCTCGGGAACTCTGTCCCCGATCATTTCTTCTATCATTCCCTACGGGGTTGCGTCTGGGCCCGTTATTTCTCTGATCTCTACTGTATGGCTGGTAACTGTCTCTATTTGATCGTGGCTCCCGATCGACATCCCTTTTAACTCTGTCCACGGACCAGTTGGGATAAATCGAACCAACTGGAGTTCCCAATTGATCATCTTCGACCCTAATCTTTGACTGATACCGATTGTGTACATCGGCCCAAGTGATAGCTGGATATACGATTAAATTTTGCTTTAACTGTTGTGAAGCTATGGAGCTCCGAGTGTTGAGACCTTTGTAAACGCTTGAACATCCCAGTCATCGGTGACTGGGGGAAAACCCATTCGTTCCGTTTGGAACCTAGACACAAATTCCCTGAGCATCTCGTTATCCTTTTGTCTTACTTTGAAAAGGCTTGATTTCCTTGTTGCAACTTTAATGACTCCGGCGTGGGCTTTCACAAAAGAATCTGCGAGCATAGCAAACGAATCAATAGAGTTAGGTGGTATGTTATGATACCATATCATGGCACCTTTCGATAAAGTTTCTCCAAATTTCTTCAATAGAACGGATTCAATCTCATCATCTTCTAAGTAATTTCCCTTTATTCTGCATGTGTACGAAGTGACGTGATCATTAGGATCGGTGGTCCCATTTTACTTGGGGATGTCTCGTATACGAAATTTCTTAGGAATGGGCTTCAGAGCCGCACTTTGAGGAAAAGGCTTCTGCACAAACTTCTTCGAATCCAAACCCTTTAGGATCGGGGTTGCCCCCGGTAATTGATCCACTCATGAGTTGTACGTTTCTACCTTTTTGTCATTAGCCTCAATTTTCTTTTCACCCGATTCTATCCTTTTAGTGAGTTCCTCGAGCATCTTCATGACGGCGGGGTCAGTTACTGATCTATTACCGTTCAATTTCTCCTGTACAGGTTTGACCCTATGAACAACTTCCTGTGATGTATCGAGTTCGATTGTTCTTGGTGCTTGATTCTGATTTTGGAGTTGCGCTATCGCAGCTTGCTGAGTTTGTAACAATTCAAATATCTTTCGAAGGCTAATCCCGCCTTCTTCACCACTCTATGCGTTATGATCGGCTGCCCGGGCGTCTCTGAGGATGCTATTTTCAGGGTCGGCGCCTAAATTTCCATGAATGGCAACACGAGAGCTGACAGCGACTGGATCTACGGCATGTGGTCCATCAGGATTGATTGGAGGTACTCCGTTTCCCGGGGCGACTATGTGCTCGTTCTCGCCATGAAGACCAAGGCCGGTGTCTGTGTGAGTGGGCACTTTTTAAGAGTTTGACATGTTGATTCGTGAAATCAAAGACACTTATGAGAACAAACGTAAAAGCAGTGTGTGTTATGAGGATTAATAGTAGGCAATCACTATTATCCTTAGCCCCACGGTGGGCGCCAAACTGTTTACCCTAAAAACTGGATAACAATTAAACTTATAATGTGGTCGTAAGGATACGTGATTTCACCTAACACCAATTGATTAACGTAAAGATAAGTAATGGAAATTAAAAATAATATAAAGCAAACCAATATTTGAGCAGAGCCCTCGAGTTGGAATACCCTCGAGCTTAGTAGAGCAAGAACAGTTAAAAAGCAACAAACTGATAGACAAGAGAATATAAATTAGAGAGTGGATATTGTACTCCTTTGATCTGTGTCAATGTAAGGTACTTACAAATGATGGGGACCTCTCTTTATATAGTAGAGGAATCCTAATTACGGTATAACTCTAATTATAGAAGTAAATCCCATGATTACTCTAAACAACCGTCCTTGATTTGATCTGTTCCGGGATTTTCATCGTGTTTTCTTCGACCGGTTACGGATATCTCGCCTTTCCGTTATTGCGCTTCGTTCGAAGTCTGTCATATATGGTCTCATCCGTTGGCCTCGATCTCGATGAGCACCTCGATTCTCGAGCTCAATGCCTTATCTTCGTGCTCTAACCTGATCCATTACGAGACTGACCCTCGACGTGATTCCATAATCTCAATTAAATGACATAATCGGGCAAGCCATATTTTAACCGTATAGAGTGTGTATAGGAAGAATTAGTGGTTTAGTTTTATTCCTATCCAAAATATAATTTAGCAACGACTGTTTTCACGAGGAGGAAATTGACCAAATGTTATAAATCCATAAGTTAGGTTCTAAATGTTGCACATCTTCAGAGTTTGCTCTGAAAATGATACTTTGCGCTTTCTATTTCAAGAGAAAAAGACAAAGAAGTAAAAACGAGTCCGGGAAGAAACAAAATGCACGACCCTTCAACTACTCTATCATTTTAATTTTATCATGTGCTTCTGAGTTCTGACGAGAATAACACTTACTAGAATTTACAAAGCAATATAAGACAGTTATAATACATTGTGAAAGGAGTACGAATTGTATTACATCTCATTTAAAAATTTGAGGTACTATAGTAATAAAAATATATACTTTAGACACACACGCATGTCTATTAATTTTAATTATTTTTAACGCGTCCTTTCATGTTACACTCATGCGTGGGATTGACTCTTTACAAAACATCTAAACACAAATTTTGGTAATTATTAATAGTGACACTTCATTTATGTTATTTTAACTTTTAAATTGTGACAAGTTAAACTAGTGAAGACTAGACACATTTATTTCTACTATTTGTTTATTCGTTTCTGCAACAAAATAGTAATACTTGGTCCAAGAGGACTACCGTATGGCGTACGTGTGACATAATATACAGTCACTATACTCCTTTAAAAGATTATAAAAAGAGAAGTTGTGAGCAAAATCAAAAGAGAAGTTCTGAACAATTCAAAATAATAATAATAATAATAATAATAATAATAATAATAATAATAATAATAATAAACAAATATTTATTAAAAACATATTGGGAAAAAGAAAATAAATACTGAGCAAGTGAAACCGAGTAAGATTAGGACTGACGCGTCAACATTGAAGTGCAGGTCAGTCTTGACTAGATCTTGAGTCATGTCCTTTTACAAAGTCTTGCGAGAATTTAATTTGGACAAAAAGCAAAGAAAAACGTGTTGTTGCAGGAGTACAGTGTCGGAGGGCATCAAATTTTATTTCATTTGCACCAACTCGATTAATCTAATTTTAAAATTCACAAATAAAAATTTAAATTAGTTATAACTAATACTATATGAGCTAATACAAAATCCACGTGCCATGCAGTTAGGGGTGTACATGGTTCGGTTTGGATTGGTTTTTTCCTAAAAAGAAATCAAACCAAGTAAGTCGGTTTTTCAAATATTAGAACCAAACCAAACCAATTAAGTCGGTTTTTTCTCGATTCGGTTTATGTCGGGTTTTGTCGGTTTTTCGGTTATTTCGGTTATTTGTCGGGTTTTTTCTTAAATATAAGACATACACTACCAAACACATATTCCGCCGATCACATTTTTAACGTAACACTATCAAATCAATTATCTTTGAGAAATCTATTATTTACCAAGATATATTGATGATAATTGAATCAAATAGTGATGAATAATTTAAGGACTCAATTAAAAATATATTATTTTTAACACGAAATGGATTCTTACACTTAACAAAAAAAAACTACCGATCAAACTAGAATGTAAAGATAAAGAACTATACTAAAAGTGCAAACTATTAACATTTACCATAAAATTTTTGAAATTTTGTATAAAAATATAAATATATATAGGTGTAATAATAAATTTGAAATAGCTACTCCTATAGTCGGTTTGGTTCGTTTTTTTTTTCCAGTTTTTCTGATTAAAACCAAAATCAAACCAATATTGATCGGTTTTTAAAATTAAAACCAAAACCAAACCAAACAAAAAAGGATCGATTTTTTTGGTCGGTTTAGTTTGATTTTCGGGTTGGTTCGGTTTTTCGGGTTTTTATAAACACCCCTACATGCAGTTATTGTTGTACTAGGTCCATTTGATTGTGGCTGACTTTTTTTCTTCCTTTACTTTGGGCCAGTAATAAGACCCGGCCCAATTGTGTATTTATAGGCCCATTCTTTTGTACAGATACGATTCATTCTTGTAAGAACAAAAATAATAGAAAATATCGAGAAGCTTCCTCTTCCTCTCTAATGGAGATATTTGATTTCTCATTTTCTGTGTTCTCAATCTGAGAGATACATCAAAACTTAACATGGTATCAGAGCTTAGACAGTTCTATGGCACTTTCTTCGCTTCCGATCGATCCTGTTTTCGTCAATTTCAAAGTTTTATCTCGTTCCAGATGATGTTCGGTTCAGCTAGGGTTTTCTATTGATTTTTGGTTGATTTCTCAGTCGGATTCTCGCGCATTCAACATTTTTGATCTCCAATTGTTCGACTATTGATGAGATTTGAAGATTTCGTGGTTTTCATCCCGAGCCAGGGTTTCGAAGTCAAGCCGAAGTTTTTATCTCTGTTAAGAAGGCCGTTTTTTTCCGGTTGCGAAAAGGCTGGTAACCTCATATCACCTTTTTCCTCTCTGATTGTGAATCGCATGCATAGTTGATCTGTAAATATGTATGTGCAAATTCGCTTAAAGAAAAATGACAAATGATAATAACACCAGTGCTGATGCAACTTCTTCCACTCCCTCACGCCTAATTTTCCATGAAGATGATTACACCCATCCTTGTCACCCTCTGTATGTTCATCCATCAGACGTACTAGGAACTTCCTTAGTTTCCAGTCCTTTTGATGGAAGTTGCTATGGGAGTTGGAAACGTAATGTGTTAGTTGCTTTGTCCATTCGTAACAAGTTAGATTTCACTAATGGTACTTCTCAGAGACCTCCTGAAGGTTCTCCTCTAGCTAGACAGTGGCAACGTTGCAATGATCTTGTTGTCTCTTGGCTGACTAACTCTATGTCTAAAGAAATATCCAGGAGTGTTGAATACTCTAAGTTTGCTAAGGATATTTGGACTGAGTTAGAAGAGAGGTATGGGAAAGCTGATGGTGCTAGGATCTTTGAGCTAAAGAAGGAATTGGCTCATATTTCCCAAGGGTCTATGGACATAGCATCATATTTTAACAAAGTTAAGCAACTATGGGATGAGATTGCATCTTTATCTACTGGGAGAGTTCGAATGTGTACTTGTGGGGGTAAGGCTGCTGAGGATGAAGAACAAAAGGTCTACCAGTTCCTCATGGGACTGAATGACACTTATGTCCAAACAAGAAGCAACATCATTATGATGAAGCCCTTACCATCCATTGGTAATGTATATGGGATTTTATTATCTGATGAGAAGCAGAGACAAGTTTCTGCTGGAACTCAATTTGCTTCAAATTCTGCCTCTTTCAGTGCTGGTGTATCCAGGCCTCCTGTATCTCCCAAAGTAAATTTTGAACCTCAGAGGTCTAGTACCAGCTTTAAAGGATCTTTTGAGCCTCACAGGTCTGTTATTGTCTACAAATATTGTAAGAAATCTGGACATAGCATTGATAGGTGCTATAAACTCCATGGTTTTCCTCCAAATTTCAAACCAAATAGATCTCCTTCTCCCAGAAGGTCTGCTGCATATGCTGAAGTGGATACTTCTGGTGCTTCTGCTATGTCAGCTGGTTCTGAGGGTACTCCTGCTATGTCAACTCCTGAATAGTCCTATCCAGTTCCTGAGCTTACCAAGGACCAATATTCTCAGCTAATGTTTCTTCTTCAGAAATCTCAATTGTCTCCATCAGCATCATCTGCTTCTTCAACCAACTATCTTGCTTCTGCTAACTTTGCTGGTGAGTTGTTACCCCCCAAGGGTGTATCTTATGGTGCATGTATGCTGAATAAGATAGATAATATAATTTGGGTGATAGACTCTGGGGCATCTGACCACATGACTTCCCTTAAGCATTTTCTTTTTAATGTTCAAACACTTCCTGTACCCTACCTTGTTTCTCTCCCTAACGGGTATAAGGTTAAGGTCACAAGTGTTGAATCCTTGGCCTTGTTCCCTGACTTGATTCTTCACAATGTACTCTATATTCCTAGTTTTCAATATAATCTCATTTCTGTGTACAAATTACTTTCACATGATGATGATATTGTACAATTTACCAAGGCTGCTTGTACCCTACAGGGCCCTTCAGTGAGGAAGCCAGTGGTTCTTGGTAGATTGGACAATGGACTCTACAAATTGTTTCAGAATGCCAAGCCTCCAACATCATCTGCCTTACCTCTTTCTAATTCCTTTAATTCTTGTTTGCTTAATTCAGTTTCTGCTCCTATTTCTGTACCTGATAATACTGCCATTGTAAATACCAATGTTGTTTTACATAATGTGAATAAAGATGATGTTGTTTGGCATTACAGACTTGGGCATATTCCTTTCTGTAAAATGAAGTGCATTTCTGGCCTTAATTGCAAACTATCTTCCAAGCAGTCATTCAATTGTCCAGTTTGTCCATTAGCTAGGCAGACCAGATTATCTTTCCCTAATAGTTCTATTCACTCCACCCAGCCCTTTCAGCTAATACACATAGACACCTGGGGACCTTATTCTACTCCTACCTATGATGGTTCTAGGTATTTTTTAACCATTGTGGATGAATACTCTAGAGCTACTTGGACACATTTAATGGGAGCCAAGAGCAATGACTTTGAGTTGCTCAAAGCTTTCATTGTTATGGTTGAAACCCAATTCCACTCTAAAGTTCAAACTGTTAGAAGTGACAATGCTCTGGAGTTGGGATCTAGTACTTTTGGTTGCCTTTTCTTTTCAGAAAAAGGGATTGTACACCAAACCTCCTGCCCTTATACCCCTCAACAGAATGGTGTTGTCGAAAGAAAACACAGACATTTACTAGAAACTGCTAGGGCACTTTTGTTTCAATCTCATTTACCCCTTAAGTTTTGGGGTGATTGTGTCTTAACTGCCACCTATTTGATTAACAGATTCCCCTCACCTCTTCTTCATCACAAAAGTCCCTTTGAATTGCTTCATTCTTCCACTCCTACTTACCACCACCTTAGAGCCTTTGGTTGCCTTTGTTACTCAACTGTCACCACCCCTCACAAAGACAAATTTCTTCCTAGATCCATTCCTTGTGTTTTCATTGGATACCCTTTTGCCAAGAAGGGATACAAACTTCTTAATCTTCAGAATAACTCATGTTTTGTTTCAAGAGATGTCATTTTCTATGATCACATCTTTCCTTTCTGTCAATCCTCTCATGTTGTACCTCAAGTCTCCCCATGTCCCTTTTCTGCTTGTTTTGATGAGGGTTCCTTTTCTCCCTCTTATTCTACTCCTCACACTTCACCTATTTATCCTACTGATCCTCACTCCCCCTCTGTTCCCACTCATATATCCTCCTCTTCTCCTGATCCCATCTCTTCTGTACCTCCTCCTATTTTAAGAAGATCTTCCAGACCACACAATCCACCTAGCTATCTCAACAGTTATGTTTGCACCTCCACTTCTTCTGCTCACCCCTCTAAGTCTATCTCCAATGCTCCCACTCTTAGTCAGCCTCATGTTCCTGAGCCTTATTCTTACTCTCAGGCTGCTGTTGTCCCTGAATGGCAGGAAGCCATGAGATGTGTATTTGAGGCTTTGGATGAAAACAGAACTTGGGACATTGTTAAGTTGCCTCCTAGCAAGAAACCTATTGGGTGCAAATGGGTATACAAGGTTAAATATAGGGCTGATGGGAGTATTGAAAGGTATAAAGCTAGATTAGTAGTTAGGGGGAAAACTCAGGTTGAGGGTATTGATTTCAATGAAACCTTTTCCCCTGTGGTCAAGATGTCCTCTGTCAAAACTCTGATTCCTGTAGCTGTTAAGCAACACTGGCCCCTCTTCCAACTAGATGTGAATAATGCCTTCTTACATGGGGACCTTGATGAAGAGGTTTTCATGAAGTTGCCACCTGGTCTCACTGTTCCTCCTTCTGCTTCTTCTTCTTCTGCTCCTTTGATTTGTAAACTCCAGAAATCTCTTTATGGTTTAAGACAGGCTTCAAGACAATGGTATGCAAAATTGTCTCAAGCTTTATGCTCCAAGGGTTTCCCTCATTCCTTAAATGATTACTCTGCTTTTACCAAGGGTTCTGGGGCTTCTTTGGTCATCTTGGCTGTATATGTAGATGGTATTATCTTGACTGGGTGTGATCTAGCTGAATTAACTGCCTTGAAGTCCTTTCTTAATGATCAGTTCAAGATCAAGGACTTGGACTCTCATAATTACTTCCTTGGGATTGAGGTCTTATACACTCATTCTTGGGTTCTTCTTCATCAAAAGAAGTTCATTCATGATTTGCTGGCTGATTTTCATTCCTCTGAATGCTCTCCTGTCACTTGTCCTCTTGAGTTGAATGTCAAGCTGAAAGATAAGGTTGGTCCTCCCTTGCCCAAACCTAAAGAGTACAGTAGTCTAGTGGGCAAGCTGAATTTTCTGACACACACTAGGCCTGATCTTAGCTTTGCTGTTCAGCATCTGAGTCAATTTATGCAATCTCCTTGTGTCCCACACATGCAGGCTGCTTTACACTTGCTGCGATATCTCAAGGGCACATTTGATTTTGGCATATTTCTTAATAATTCTCCTGACTTGTCCCTGCAAGTTTATTGTGACAGTGATTGGGCTTTTTGTCCAGACAGCCGCAGGTCTGTCACTGGTTTTTGTATATTCCTTGGGGGCAGCTTGGTGGGCTGGAAATCAAAGAAGCAACCAGTTGTTTCCCTCTCCTCCGCTGAAGCTGAGTATAGGTCTATGAGTAAGGCTGTGGCAGAGTTGTCTTGGCTCACCAGATTATTGTCTGATTTTGGTGTGTCTCCCTCCTTACCTGTTCCCTTGTTTTGTGATAATCAGGCAGCTCTTCACATTGCACACAACCCTGTTTTCCATGAACGCACTAAACACATTGAATTGGATTGTTATTTCGTTCGTGGTAAGCTTGGGGATGGCCTGATCAGTCTTCTTCACACCTCTAGTGTTTCTCAAGTGGCTGATGTTCTTACCAAGGTGTTGCCTGGACCTGCTCATCATCTTCATGTTCGCAAGCTGGGGGTTGTGTCACCCTCCAGCTTGAAGGGGGCTATTGGACTAGGTCCATTTGGTTGTGGCTGAATTTTTTTAAACTTAACAGTTATTGATCTTGTCCAGTGACGAATTTTGAATTTAGACATATATATATATATATATATATATATATATATATATATATATATATATATATATATATATATATATATATATATATATATATATATATATATATCGACCCTGGAACAAAGTATTTTATCAAATATTTTTAAATGAAGAGGGGATTGGCTTACCCCTCGTCCCACCTAACTCAACCCAACTCTGACCTTCCGTACAAGTGAAAGAGCACCCTGGATAACCAAACACCCTTCTCTCATATGTGTGCTTGTATATATGAGTGTGCACTTCTATGTAAAGTACCTCACAGAAATTTAAGGAGTGTATTCATCTTCCATCTACTTATTGATTCCAAGACTGTCATTAATTAACTCATTATTTGGAGTGTGAAAGAGAGAAAGACATATACAGGAGAATGGGAAAAGAGATAGTGAAAGTAGAATTAGCTGATCAGGAGACAACAAATCATCAGATTCACCGTCAACGACATCATCCTCATCTGATATTGAGGAAAGGACGAGGATGCCTTTGTTGGCACTTAACCATGTTTCCTATGTCTGCAAATCTGTTCCCAAAAGTGTCCAATTCTATGAGCAAGTTCTTGGTTTTGTTCTCATCCAGAGGCCCTCTTCCTTCGACTTTGATGGAGCTTGGTATGACCATATGGATTCATATTTTGTCTATGGTTTTACATGCATTTGTGCCAGTATTTGGAAATGATATCACAAATGCATGTGTAAAATTATTTTGCATTATCGGTGCATATAAGTTAAATCCAAATTATAAACATTGATTCAGGTTGAGACAATTTGAATAACGATAATAAATGATCTGACAATTTGGGTTGATTTCTGCAGGTTGTTCAACCACGGAATTGGAATACATTTGCTAGGAAAAGAAGATGTAGAGTCAAAGAAGGGAAAGATAAACCCAAAAGACAATCACATTTCATTCCAATGCTACGATATGAACCTCATAATTGAAAGATTGGATGAGATGAAGATTGAATATGTAACAGCAACTGTGAAAGAAGGTGGAATCATTGTGGATCAACTCTTCTTTCATGATCCAGATGGTAACATGATTGAGATATGCAATTGTCAAAATATTCCAATTCTTCCACTTTCCTCTTGCCCTCTCAAGAAGTTCAACAAATATCCAACCTTCAACCAAACCATGCCTAATTCTTTTTTTGGTATGTGTCTCTCCTTGTTTCAGTATATTCTACTACTTTCTTTTAAAAAGGAATTTAATATACGCCATCGATGTAAAGTAATTTGTATACATATACGTTATTAGGTCACCGAAAAAATAATTAATTACATATAACTCTGTATAGTATGTTGGATTAGTCACTTGAAAAATAGTACTTACGACAATTAAGTAACATGGTAGAACAACATATTGAAATTCACTATTGTGTGGAAGTTCTTTATGCTATAAGTGTGTATATCAGTTAAATTATTTCCAAAAAAAAAAAAAGTTTGTTTTAAAATGAGGACAAGCTTTTTTCCCAAACGACCAATTAAGTTTGATTAATTCAACGGCAATGGAAGGGGGAGAATTAGACGTTAACCTTGTAGTTTTAGTAGAGCATTATTCTTATTTTTGTGTGTTTGAAAATGCAGGGAATGGAACCAGTAAGATGAATAGCTTAGGGGAAATGGAATATCTGATGATGGAGAACTTAGCCATGAACATGATAGACATTTCATTTTGAACTAGTATTAGGATACGCGCGTTGCGCGTGTACCTTATCTCAATGAATATAAAATTATAAAATTACATAAATATTATATTAAATTTGTGTTTGAGTTATAAAATTAAATCGAAGAAAATATTAGACTATTATCGCAAAAGGTATTATTCAATCGCTATATTTTTTATTAACTCTTTTTCGTTTTGGGGTGAGCTTTCTTTTCCTATACAGGCACATAACCGTATATGTATGTGTGTGTGTATATATATATATATATATATATATTAATGGAGGTTAAGATTGTAATTAAGTAACTTATTATTAATGGATTCTAAAAGGACTATGCTACTTAGCAANTTTACTTACGTTTTCGTTTTTCGGGTTGGTAGCGTTCTTTCCTTACTTACGGCACATAACCGTATATGTATGTGTGTGTGTATATATATATATATATATATATATATATATTAATGGAGGTTAAGATTGTAATTAAGTAACTTATTATTAATGGATTCTAAAAGGACTATGCTACTTAGCAAAAAATATGGAGCGTATGTTAAAAACCAATTTCTAAACAATTTGTAGTCTTAGCTACCCTCTGAAGTTGGCTATTTGATAATCGATACACTCTGGACGTCAATGTGTTAAAGAGCGTGGATATATGCTCTCTCCTTTAGGCGCGTGAAAGTGAAGAATAATTGAAAATCCAACTTCCAAAATAATATTTTTCAATCGTTAATTGGTATATAATCTGTCACGACCCCAATCCCCGCTCTGGTCGTGATGGCGCCTCTCGTGAAGACAAGGCCAGCCAACTAACCCATATCGCCTTTTCAAAAATAGTTAAACATGAATAAGCAGTCTAAATATGATTTAATAATATTAATTAGCGAAAGTACAACCCAACACAGCCCTAATCGGGGTGTCACAAGTCACGAGCATCTATAAGAGGGTAAATACAACTACAAGGTCTAAAAATACACTGAACAGGAATAATGAACAACAGATAGAGAAGCGGTGCTGCGTACACTGGCAGTCACCTCGCTAAACTCCTATAGCTCTGCCTCCAATAAGCCAAAACCCGCTACCGGGTGAATAAATACCTGCATCTGCACACGAGGTGCAGGGAGTAAAGTGAGTACTCCAACTCAGTGAGTAATAAAGGTAAATAATAACTGAGCAGTAAGAAATCACGTAAGGCAAATCATCATGCTGTATAGAGCAGTGTAAAACCCTCTTTAGAAAACAGTGAAGTTGTGAAATCCTTAGAAAAACATCTTGGATCAATTTAAACCTCTTTTGGAAATAACTTTTTCAGCGGTTACGCAATTGAATGCAAAACAATAGTGCAGATAAGTACAGAAACTCGCCCCCCGGGCACAACACTCAGTTTTCAGATAATGCCAGGCAATCAGGTAGGTATTTCATGAAGTAGCACAGACAACTGATAATGGCAGACAAATGAAACTAAGTAAACACATAGAACAGTACCAGTACCGCTGCGGCGTGCAGCCCGATCCATATATCGTTGCGGCGTGCAGCCCGATCCATTTATCGTCGACGACGCTCACTAGGGGTGTACAGACTCCGGGAGGGGCCCCTTACGGCCCAAGCGCAATATCAAGCCATCTCGTGGCGTACATATCTCCGGCTCTCGGCCTCATAATCAATTCAGTATCTCACTGCTGCGACGTGCAGCCCGATCCAAAAGTATCCTCACAACACAGGCCCTTGGCCTTACTCAGTCAGAAATCACATAAGCCCCGCGGGCAACATTAAAACATGACGCTCAGCCCAAAAATATTGTTGAAAATATCATTTCAAGTGTTATAGTATAATAAACTTGGCTGAGTTTTGAAAACAGTGGAAAATACATGACTGAGTTCAAGTATAAAATCAAAACAGTGATAATAATCCCCGAAGGGTTCAAATAGTTGGCACGAAGCCCAAATATGGCAATCAACCCAAATCATGATGATAACAAGTAAGTTTCAGTCAAATACACGGTAAATTCATCAATCGGGACGGACCAAGTCACAATCCCCAACGGTGCTCTACCCCACGCTCGCTATCCGGCGTGCAAGTCACCTCAATATAGCACTACGATGTGCAATCCGGGGTTTCAAACCCTCAGAATATCATTTACAATCATTACTCACCTCGAACCGGCGAAATCTCTAGCTCGCGACGCCTTTTCCCCTCAAATCGGCCTCCACGCGCGTCGAATCTATCCAAATTCAGAACGAATACGTCACAATATGCTAAGGGAACAAAGCTCAAGCGAAAACAATTGAAAAATATCAAAAATCCCGAAATTAGCAAAACCTGAGCCCCGGACCCACTTCTCGAAACTCAAAAATTTTTACATCAATGGATTCCTTATCTTGCCACGAGTCCATACATACCAAAAACTCTCAAATCCGACCTCAAATGACCCTTCAAATTCCAATTTAAAAATCTCAAAACCCAAGCCCTAGTTCTTCCATTTTTAGTTAAATTTCCATGAATTTCTAGGTTAATTTCACAATATAATCACGTTTTTGGCTCATAGAACTTACCTCCAATCAATCCTCTTCGAATCCCTCTTCAATTTCTCCTAAAGAGCTCTCAAAATACTCAACAATGGTGGAAAATGACTTAGGCTCGCGAATGAAATATTTTAAAAACCCTTCTGCCCACCGATAATTTTCTTCTATGCGAACGCGGTCAAACCCCCGCGTTCGCGATGAATAAAACTTACCTTGACCAAAATAACTCTTCGCGAACGCGTCCATACTCCCGCGAACGCGATGCCTTGGCCCCTGAACCTACGCGAACGCGACACCGTATACGCGAACGCGATGAATAACTTAGTTGGACCTCAACTTCTACTATGCGAACGCGGACTCCACACTGCGAAAGCAAAGCACCAGAAATTTACCTTCCGCGTTCGCGGACCCACTATTGCAAACACGAAGACCAAAAATAGGCCTGCCAAAAATCCTTCTACGCGATCGCGAAGGCCAAAATGCACCTGCAACTGCTGCTGCAATTTCTGCAATTCCTTAAGTCTCAAAACTTCCCGCTTAGCCATCCGAAATCACCCCGAGGCCCCCGGGACCTCAACCAAAAGCACCAACGCATCCTAAAACATCATTCGAACTTGTTCCAATCATCAAAACGCCTCAAACAACACCAAAACCATCAAATTACATCGAATTCAAGCCTAAGTTCCTCTAAAACTTCCAAAACACACATTTGATCAAAAACCCAACCAAATCACCTCCGAATGACCTGAAATTTTACACACACATCCCAAATCACATAACGAAGCTACAACAACTCTCAGAATTCCATTCCGACCCTCGGATCAAAATCTCACCTATCAACCGGAAATCGCCAAAATACTAACTTCGCCAATTCAAGCCTAATTCCACACCGGACCTCCAAAACCACTTCCGATCACGCTCCTAAGTCATAAATCACCCCACGAAGCTAACTAAATCATAAAAATTCCAATCCGAGCTCATATACAAATAAGTCAACCCTTGGTCAAACCTTTCAAATTCAAAGCTTTCAACTGAGATTGTTCCTTCAAATTCATCCCGATTTTCCTGAAAACCAAAACCAACGATCTACATCAGTCATAATACATTACACGAGGCAAGTCATGCCCGAGAACTGGCGATCAAAGTGCAAAAGCTCAAAACGACCTGTCGGGTCGTTACATTATCATACACAAATGTTATTTGTCAGAACATAATTATATATTTTTCTTGCTTCATCTTAATATACAACACATACTTTTTCCCTTAAGTATTTCTTCAAATCAAGGTTTTAAAAACAGTGTTGTTTTTATCTTTACAAAATGCAATATCCCTTTTGTGTTTTCGGTTATTAACTAATATAAGTATGAATTTTGAAATATTTTTAGCACTAAAGTCAGTAACATTTAGAGATTTAAAAGTCGTATTGTAGACATCAAAATTTTAAGGGATTAAGCGAAATCCTAAATTAAAGATACTACAAGGCTCTTGAAATCCTAGGAGTCTATTCGGGTTTCTTGGAGGTTACTCTACCCTAAACCCTAACTCACACCAATATAAAAGGATACATATTTCTTTGAAAAGGCGTCTCAAAATCCCATAAACTCTTGGGATATTCACAAAGATCAAAATATGGCTGGATACTTCTTGACAATCAAATAGTTCAAGAAGCTGGAGATCAAATACATCCCCAGAAGGTCTGCATCATCCTACGTTCGAGAAATACACGGATTCAGCTCTCGAATTACGGAGATAATCAGGAGAGAAGAATCAAGGGAGAAATAGAATTGTACTCACAATTGATTAGTAAAAATATTTTTCTCTTATTTTGTGATTGCAGATTATATTTCACGTATGTCAAAATTTTATTGCAAACAAATTGGCACGCCCAGTGGGACCAATTCTGCCCTTCATCTCTTCCTCCTGTAAATCGAAAACTCCAAGTTTCAAAACCATTTGTTGCGATGGTCGAGTACTTCAAGTCTCGTCTTAAAGTTTCGGCAAGCCTACACCCCGACAAACTTTGAAATAGGGGGCATTTGTAGACATCGAAATTTTAAGGGATCAAGCCAAATCCTAAATTAAAGATACTACAAGGCTCTTGAAATCCTAGGAGTCTTTAGGGTTTCTTGGAGGTTACTCTACTCTAAACCCTAACTCACACCTATATAAAAGGATACATATTTCCTTGTAGAGGCGTCTCAAAATCCCATAAACTCTTGGGATATTCACAAAGAGATCAAAATATGGCCGGATACTTCTTGCAATCAAATAGTTCAAGAAGTTGGAGATCAAATACATCTGCAGGAGGTCTGCATCGTCCTATATTCGAGAAATGCGCGGCTTCAGCCCACGAATCACGGAGATAATCAGGAGAGAAGAATCAAGGGAGAAACAGAATTGTACTCACAATTGATTAGTAAAAATATGTTTCTCTTATTTTGTGACTGCGGTTTATTTATCATATGACGAAAATTTATTGCAAACACGTATATATTTACAAAGCAAAAGACACAAAGTTTGAAAACCTAAAAT